AACTCACCGTGAAGTTCCTGTTGACCTGGAATTTGAGATTTTTCTGCCTCAGCCTCCTGAGTAGCTAAGATGACAGGCAGGTACCATAAGACACAGAAGACCCGGCTCTGAAATCTTTCATTTGAGGGAAATCTAAATTCTCTTCCCTTGTCAGCTGGCCCGTCCTTTCGGATCATGGTCTCTTGGAAGTCCAGCTCCCTCTGGGCCACACTCCGTATTTCTCATCCGCCCTGACTGTCCCCGTGCACTTACCCTCTACTTCTTACAGTAGGTCCCCTGTGTCATGCTGGCCTCGAGCAGAAGTGACCAACGGTCTGGGAATACTCGGGGTTAGCGGGTGTGGGGGAGAGGGGGAGGTCAGTTCCAGAAATTCCCCAGAAGAAAATGAAGACCCGGGGCTCGGACCATAGTTCGGTTGGTAGAGCTGCACGGTCAGCGTGCGGGAAGCCCCAAGTTCCATGCCTATCACAGCACAAACTGACTTTGCAATGGTACACGCCTGAAATCCCAACACCAGGAAGGTGAAGGCCGGAGAATCAGAAGTTCAAGGTCAACCTCAGCTACGTGAGCTCCGAATTCAAAAACAAACAAATAAAACCCCACAGAAAATCAGGGTGCAGACCTGCTGCCCACGCGATGTCTGAAATACCAACACCAGAAAGGCCAAAAGAGTAGACTCAAGCCGGGCGGTGGTGGCGCACGCCTGTAATCCCAGCACTCGGGAGGCAGAGGCAGGTGGATGGATCTCTGTGAGTTTTGAGGCCAGCCTGGTCTACAGAGCTAGTCCAGGACAGGCACCAAAACTACAGAGAAACCCTGTCTCGAAAAACCAAAAAAAAAAAAAAGAAAAGTAGACTCAAAGGGCCAGTGTGGGAAAGACTCTGTCTCAAAAATAAAAAATTAAAAAGTTAAGGGCCGACAAGATGGCTCAGCAGGTAAGGGCGCTTGCCGCCAAGCATAACAACTTGAATTCCATCCTTGGGACCCACATGATGCAAGGAGTTAGCCGACCCCATAAAAGTTGTCCTCTGACCTCCATGCACATGCACCCATCCCACAATAAATAAACAAACAAATAAATGTAAAGGTATTAAAATAATAATAATAAGCCGGGCGGTGGTGGCGCACGCCTTTAATCCCAGCACTCGGGAGGCAGAGCCAGGCGGATCTCTGTGAGTTCGAGGCCAGCCTGGGCTACCAAGCGAGTCCCAGAAAAAGGCGCAAAGCTACACAGAGAAACCCTGTCTCGAAAAACCAAAAAAAAAAAAAATAAATAATAATAATAATAATAATAATAATAATACAAGCCGGGTGTGGTGGCTTACTCAACACTTAGGAAGCTGAGGCAGGAGAATTGCTTATAGTTTGAGGCTACCCTTGGCTACATAATGAATTCCAGGCCAGCCTAGGATACAAAGTAAAACCTGTGTCAGGGGGAAAAAATGAAAAAAGAAGAAAAGAAAAAAAAAGCAAAAGAGAATCAGTATGGCGGTAGGTGCCTGCAACCCTAGCGGTTGGGAGGTAGAGGCTGCAAGATCGGGAGTTCGAGGCCACCCTTGGTGACATAGCAACTTGAAGATGAGCTCTTCTCAAACAAATGAAGGAAGGAAGAAAACTTGGGAGACCGGAGAATAGCTTAATCCCCAACTCTCTCCCCAGTGACGTGATCCTGGACCAGTCTTGGCCTCTGAGGGGTGAGGCTTCTGATCTCTGTGGGCCTAGCTACAAGGCAAGGGGCAGGGAGCCCTTGCTGGCCCCTGCCTAATCGATGTCACTGGGCATCTGCAGATCTGGGAGCGGTGGGGCTGCAGGGAGGCTAGAGGGCTGGGCCCAGCCTACAGCGCAGCAGCAGCAGCAGCATCGAGGAAGCTCGCCAGCTCCTTCCCCAAGTGTGACTTTTATAAATAAGCTCCCTTCTCCTTCCTTCCAAATGTGGTGGTGCTGGGTGGGGGAGAAAGAGGAGGAGGCAGAGGAGGAGGCACAGGGAGGGAGGGCACACAGATGCCACGGATACGTCCGGCAGCATCAGCACCAGTGTCTCCATCCCTGGTGACTCTGTGGTTTTAAAACCCCGGCTCCCAGGCTGCAAAGGCCCCTGCAAATTCAGTCACAATTGAGAAGACCTAGGACCTCTTCTCAAGCCCCAAGAAGCTGGGCTCTGAGTTTTTCCTCTTTTTCTTTTCTCACATATCCCATGCTACCTAGCATCAGAATCCCTGTTGGGCCAAGAAAGATGGTGAATTCCGGATCCTTCTGCCTCCAACTCCCAAGTGCTGAGACAACTGCCAGGTGTGGCCCCAACACGCCTGGTTTATGCCAGGCAAGCACTCTACCAGCTGAGCTACATTTCTAGTTCCAAGTGTCTCTCTGTACATCTCATAAACAGGAACCCTAGGACAAGGAGAGCAAGGGATTTCTTTCTTTTCTTTTCTTCTTTTTTTTTTTTTTGGAGCTGAGGATCGAACCCAGGGCCTTGCACTTGCTAGGCAAGCGCTCTACCACTGAGCTAAATCCCCAACCCCTCTTTCTTTTTTTTTTTTTTCAATACAGGGTTTCTCTGTGTAGTCCTGGCTGTCCTGGAACAGGACCAGGGTGGGCCTCGAACTCACAGAGATCTGCCTGCCTCTGCCTCCCGGGTGCGGGATGAAAAACGTGCGCCACCACCGCCCGGCGAGAGCAAGGGAGTTCTAAGAATGGTAGCAGCCCCTCAAGACTCTTTCGCCCCAGCCATGCCTAGATCAGCTAGACCCTCCATGGACAAGGCCGGGTGGCTGTGAGGACCATCTCCAGGGGCTTTGAATCTTGGCTGGAGTAGAACGAGCATAGAGTTCATTTGAAGCCAAGTTAGCCATTCCCACGTGGGGCCACCCAGGCTAGTGTTGGGGACATAGCTCTAGGTTCAAACTTTTTTGGTTTTGTTTGGTTTTTCTCGAGACAGGGTTTCTCTGTGTCATTTTGGTGCCTTTCCTGGATCTCGCTCTGTGGTGCAAGGCTTGGCTGGCCTCGAACTCAGAGATCCTCCTGGCTTTGCCTCCCAAGTGCTGGGATTAAAGGCGTGCCCCACTACCGCCCGGCTCAAGCTTTTTTTTTTTTTTTTAAAGATTTATTTATGTATGTATGGGTCTGCACACCAGAAGAGGGCATCAGATCCCATTATAGATGGTTGTGAGCCACCATGTGGTTGCTGGGAATTGAACTCAGGACCTCTGGAAGAGCAGCCAGTGCTCTTAACCACTGAGCTGTCTCTCCAGGCCCAGGTTCAAGCTTTTTTTTACAACCCAAGCTGATCTGCCACCCCTCCAACAAACCAGCAGGACCCTTTTGCTGTGACTGAGTTCGACCTTTAGCAGAGAGTCTGGAAGCTGATAGGCCAAACGCAAACATATGGAAAGGCCGGTGCTCCTCGACGCTTAGTTCCCTCGAATACCCATGATGGACGCACGAGGTACGCCAAGACGTACACACGACCATGTGCACTGCCACCCATCACCTGGACATGCTATCTGACTCGAGGTGACACCAGTCTGAGGCAGTGGCGCATGCTGTCATCTCAGCACTCGTGAAGCTGAGGCAGGAGGATTGCTCTGAGTTTAAGATCCAACTGGGCTACACAGTTCCAAGCTACCCTGGGCTACAAAGATTTTATTTAAAAAAAAAAAAAAAAAAAAAAAAAAACCACAGCACAGGAAACTTGAGGGCATTGACAAGGGACTGTTGGGGCAAATGTTCAAAGACTATATATGACATGAGAGACTGTCTGCTTCCTTTGAAATAGATGAGGCACTGGGTACCCAGCCAAGAATAATCCAGGTCTGAAGGCAAGTGGGGGTCGGCTGCAGGTAAAATAAGAGAAAGGGCAAGAGTGGAGAGCACAAATATGGTTGGTATTATGGTAGAGAGATCCGGGCACAAATGGAGAAGCCAAGCAGAAATCACAGTCATTAGGTCAAAAGCACAAAGACAAAACTTTCCATGAAAGGCTGTAAGTGGGGCACAAGAGAAGGGATCTAGGAAGCCACCCAGCTGGGGTGGGGTGGGGGTCTGGGGGCTCCCAGAAATCAATGGGTAGAGTTCGCTGGGGATGGTTAGCTGGGGAATTGGATAAGAGACCCTGATAAAGTGCCCTTATTCAACCCTCCCTCGGGCTAGCTTAATTTCTGTCCCTCTATGGTCTGAGACCAGAGGAAGGACGCTCCCCTGTGTGTTAACAGTAGGGGACTGGGGTCTCAGGATTCAGAGATAACAGTTCAAATTTAGAACCATTCTGCAGCCTTCTACTCATCTCCAAACCCCGCCCCAAGAGCCACACCCCAGAGGCCTCCGTCACACAGGTAGGAAAATAGATCCAGGTCGCCGCCGTTAGAGCTGGAAATCCAGGAAGGGTCTGGGCAACGCCAGCTTGGGTTGCCTAGAAGCCCAAAGGTGGACCAAGGGTAGGTATGGTTGAGTCGTTTGGTCCAGAGTAAGCCGGGGATCCCTAAAACGACCGGGGTGGATCGGGAGCCACAGGTGATGAGAGCCACAGGTGATGGGGCGCCCCAAGAGACAGCTCCCGCAGAGGCCACCCCCACCCGGCGGCCTCAATTTCGCAGCGCGCCCAAGGATGGAGTTGGGAGGGGAACTCTGGGCAGGGGGTGGGGGAGACGAGAGGCTCAGCCTCCAGGGGACAGTACAAGGACGGCGACAAGCGGGCGGGGAACAGGTCACGATTTTGCATCCCGCCACCGAAACCCCATAACAGCTCCTCCAATCGCCCCCAAACAGAAGCGCCCCGAAAAGTTCCTCAAGACCCCAGGTTCCAGCCATCAGTCCCGGTGCTGAAGAGCTCGAGTCCGTGACCCGAAGTGGATCGGAGGGGTGGGACTCCCAAGGGGGTTCGGGGGGGGTCCCCCAGGCTTGCAAGGTTCCCTCTATCCCCTTGTGGACGCCCCGGTGGGCTGCGGGAGCCGAGTGGAGAATTGCGGGGCGCGGGGCGAGAAGCGCGCGGGGATCGGACTCACCGTGCGGAGCTCCTGGGTTCGGTCCTTCATGCTCCCGGGAGTGGCAGTAGGCGCCGGCTGCAGCCGAGTGAGCCCCGCATGCGCGGATGCCGCCCCGCGGCTGCGCAGCGCCAGCCCGCGCCCCGCCCCAGTCCCTGGGACCCCCAAGCCCAACCCCAGATGGCCACGCCCATCATCCTTCCGCGCCGGGATAGATCCCGCCCAGAGCTCCGCCCCCGGGGAGCCCAAAGGGTACAAATCTAGCAGTCGGGTTCTGGTACCTCCCCGCATCCGCCAGTGATCTCTCCCTCAACATGGCTCCAACTCCCTCGCCCTCCCCTGCCCCAGCCTCCACCTCTGCTCAGCCACCCAGTGTCTCTAATCCAGATCCTGGATCCCGACCTTCAGAGCCCTTCCCATTCCCTGGATTTGCTGGAGTAGAGGCCCACTTTGTTTTAAAGGACTGTGTAACCCAGGCTATCCTTGAACTCCTGCTTCTGCCTCAGCCTCCAGAGTCCAGGGTTTGCAGGCATGAGGCTCCCTGCCTGGTTTGAAAGTCCCGTCCTGAGTGGACTACCTCAGGACCTCTAGCATCCCCTCTCTTCCACAAGTCAAAATCCCGACCTCCATCCAGTCCTGAGATGGCTGAACCGGTAAAGGTGCTTGCCACCAAGCCTAAAAATCTGAGTTCTATACCTGGGACCCACGTAATGGAAGAAGAGAATCAACTCTTATACGTTATCCTCTGATCTATATGGCACACCTATGTAGAACCACACAAAGGAGGCAGGGGGATGAGTGAATATAAAATAAAATAAAATAAAATAAAAAATCCCTCTCTAGAGTGGTCAGCCTTCCCATCTCTCTCCTGTCCAGACCAGGACCTTGCCTCCTGTCCCAGGGTTTCTCAGCTCATCCGTTGGATTGAGGACCACTGACTTTCTCTTTACATACAATAATAAAGATAAAAATGTTTGGCCCGCCTCGGTTAAAAGCACTGGCTGCTCTTGCAGAAGTCATGAGTTCAATTCCCAGCAACCACATGGTGGCTCAGAACTATCTATAATGGGATCTGATGTCCTCTTCTGGCATGCCCTACATGTGAAAGGACCTGGTGGCTGAACCAGGGCCAAACAGGCTCCCCTGGCAGCCCTGACAGGCACCAGGCCTTAATTTCAGTTCACTAGAACAGGCTGGAGCTGAGCAAGCAATTCTCAGGAAAACCACAACTTAGGGGCAACCAATCAACAGGTGCCCCCCCCCAGCCTCCTGCTGGCTCAGCAGGCACCCCAAACTCCTTCTGCTGGTTCAGCAGATGCCTGCCCCAAGGCTTCTGCTAGCTAAAGCTTGCTTTCTCTACCCTCTCGTCAATAAGTCCCTAAACACTAGACCCCACCACAACCAATGGGCCCCTACAGCCTCCCACCAACCAGCTCCCAGACTAATCTTTCCTCCACCAATCAGCACCAGATTAATCCCTCCTCCCTGGAATTCCCCTAACTCCGCTTAAACGGAGCTTGCAACCCTCCTTCAGGGTCACTATTTGCCACCCCATCATGCTGGAAATAAACGCTCCTGCTAAATTGCTTTGTGACTGTTGGTCTTTCTTGGGGGCTTCTCTCGGACCCTAACACATGCAAGCAGAGTATTCACCAAAACAAAACAAAACAAAAAAAAATGTTCAGTCAGGCGATGGTGGCACATGCCTTTAATCCCAGCGCTCAGGAGGCAGAAGCAGATGGATCTCCGTGAGTTCAAGGCCAGCCAGCTCTACAGAGCGAGTTCCAGAACAGCCAGGGCTACACAGAGAAACTCTTTCTTGGGGAAAAAAAAAAAAAAAGCTTCCCTACCCCACCCTTTTCCTCATGCCTCCACTCCAGAGTTCAAATGCCAGGCTGCTCAGACCCGGGCCCAGGGAAAAGCAGTACCTGTGGGAAAATGTGAATGGTGTGCCAGTCGGCAGACATGGACCTTTTAGTCCCCTGCCAGCATCTCGTTACAGAGTAGAAACACACAGACACACAGACACACACACACACACACACACACACACACACACACACACCCCTCCTACCTCCTCATCTACCCACCCCCTGCTGCTGATCTTCTGTGTGAATGGTCTCAGGCTTTCTTGACCCCAAGCCAAGCACACTCATTCCTCTTTGTACCTTAGAGTTACCAAGGCATGGTTCTGGATCCGATCCAGCCGCCTGCTGTGCCCGGTGTGTCTGGCCCTGGCGCCTCTCCCAGACTTTCAGCGAAGGTTAGACAACTGGCTGGCAGGCAGGCTGGGACACTGGTTCAGCCTTCCCTTTCTCCCTAGAAAATCTGACAGGAGATAAATGTGGCCTGGCGTGGGAGACAACCGCATCCTTCCCAGTTGTCCAGACGTCAACATTCTGCTATATTTTATTTTTAATATCATTTATTTATGTGCATGGTAATGCCACAGCAGACAGAGAGAGGTCAGGGGACAACTTGCAGGAGCCGGTATTCCGCTTCCACAATGTGGGTCACAGAGATCAAACCTGGGTCATCAGGCTTGGCAGTAAGTGCCTTTACTCAATGAGCCATCTCATTGTGCGCGTGTGTGTGTGTGTGTGTGTGTGTGTGTGTGTGTGTGTGTGTGTGTGTGTGTTTAAAAAAAGGGTCTCTTGTATCTCAGGTTGGCCTCAAACTTTCTATGTAGCTAAAGATATCGAATCCTTGATCTTCCTGCCTCTGTGTTGCTAAAATTCCTTCCCCCACTATAAGGTCCCCAAAGCAAACCAAGGAAGGTATGATGCCACCAAAGTTGACTCTGGGACATCAACGAGTCTATTGGCCGTACTTACAGGGCATAGGTGAGGGATCTCTCACAGGTGTATGGATGCTTCTCTCCAAAAGGCCACCCTGCAAAGTCTGCTTACTTGGGATGATGATTTTCACATGCTTGCATGGATGGTGTCTGTTCCCTTAGGTCTCCCCACACTCAGACTCTAGCTGGGGTTGGGGATTTAGCTCAGTGGCAGAGTGCTTGCCTAGCAAGCGCAAGGCCCTGGGTTCAGTCCTCAGCTCCGGAAAAGAAAAAAAAAGACTCTAGCCCTTCCCATGCTCCACATGAGGGCAGAATTATATATCCAACTGGATGGGAGGAATGCCTGGATACTCAGGTGAGGGTCCCATGAACCTCTCTGCTCCCCCTTCTATGAGGAAAGTTCAACAGTCAACTAGCCCGTCTGGGATGATGTTTTGAACAGGCCCAGCCCAGCTCCTGAAGATGGTGATCGGTTGGCTCAAAAGATAGTGCTGTAGAACACATATTCCACCTCCCAAGTGCTGGGGTTACAGATGTGTCCCATCACTCCCATTTTATGCACCGCTGTAGATGGAACTCAGTGTTTCATGCATGCTAGGCAAGCACTCTACCAACTGAATTACATGCCCAGCCCCCCCTCTTTTGTATTTTGAGTTAGCCCCTCACATTGCTGGGACACACTGTCGTCCCGGCTAGCTTCAAAGTTAAGGTCCTCCTGCCTCAGGCTCCTGAGTGCTGGGAGTGGAGGTTCAGTGGGCCACTATACTCTGGTCATCTCTACCCTGTGTGCTCCACAGGGCCCATTTGACTGACAGGGGAAGCTGCCCGGCCCCGGAGAGTGGGTTTCCTGTGTTCAGGGAGAGTCAGGGCTAAGTCACGGCTATGTCCTCAGAACTCAGTATCTGGCTGAATGCAGAGACTTCAGGAAAATGAGACACAGCTGCTTCCAGAGAAAGCCACAGTATCTTGCCAACATCACTCATGTAGACATGTTAAATGTTAGCATGAAAAATGAATGAAGAAATGAAAGTGTGCACTTCACATTAAACTTTTTTTTTTTTTGGATTAGCAAGTACTCTGCTGCAGAACCATGACTTATTCATTCACTAGGGGATTCTAGGCAGGTGCTCTACCACTGAACCACACCCCAGCCCCTCACTGGGAGATTCTAGGCAGGTGCTCTACCACTGAGCCACACCCCAGCCCCTCACTGGGGGATTCTAGGCAGGTGCTCTACCACTGAGCCACAAGCCCAGCCCCTCACTGGGGGATTCTAGGCAGGTGCTCTACCACTGAACCACACCCCAGCCCCTCACTGGGAGATTCTAGGCAGGTGCTCTACCACTGAGCCACACCCCAGCCCCTCACTGGGGGATTCTAGGCAGGTGCTCTACCACTGAACCACACCCCAGCCCCTCACTGGGAGATTCTAGGCAGGTGCTCTACCACTGAGCCACAAGCCCAGCCCCTCACTGGGGGATTCTAGGCAGGTGCTCTACCACTGAGCCACACCCCAGCCCCTCACTGTTCCTGTCCTGGAACTCTGTAGGCCAGGTTGGCCTCAAACACACAGAGATCCACCTGCCTCTGCCTCCCTAGTGCTGGGATTAAAGTTAAGGCATAGGTATATAGGCTGATTTCTTTCTTTTTTTTTTTTTCTTTTTTTTTTTTTTTTTTTGGTTTTTCGAGACAGGGTTTCTCTGTGTAGCTTTGTGCCTTTCCTGGAACTCGCTTTGGAGACCAGGCTGGCCTCGAACTCACAGAGATCCGCCTGCCTCTGCCTCCCGAGTGCTGGGATTAAAGGTGTGCGCCACCACCGCCCGGCTTTCTTTTTTTGTTTGTTTGTTTTTTTTTTTGTTTTTTTTTGTTTTTTTTTTTTTTTGTTTTTTGAGACAGGGTTTCTCTGTGTAGCTTTGTGCCTTTCCTGGAACTCACTTGGTAGCCCAGGCTGGCCTCGAACTTACACAGATCCGCCTGGCTCTGCCTCCCGAGTGCTGGGATTAAAGGCGTGCGCCACCACCGCCCGTCTCTTTTTTTTTTTTTATTAAGAGATTTTCTATTCATTTTACATACCAACCACAGAGTCCTGTGTCCCCCCCACCCATCTCCCTATTTCTTTAAGGCAAAGTCTCTCTCTCTGAACTTGAGGCTCATGTTTTCCTTTTCTTTTTTTTTTTTTTTAAGATTTATTTTATGTATATGAGTGCTCTACCTTCATGTACACTTGCATGCCAGAAGCAGGCATCAGATCTCACTATAGATGGTTGTGAGCCACCATGTGGTTGCTGGGAATTGAACTCAGGACCTCTGGAAGAGCAGTCAGTGCTCTTAACCTCTGAGCCATCTCTCCAGCCCCAAGCTGATTTATTTCAACAGTCCCTCTTTTAATTCCATGTCTCTTAGCAGCTGTTGCTTGCTTATGACCATTCAAAAATTCAAAATCAGGGCTGGAGAGATGGCTCAGAGGTTAAGAGCACTGACTGCTCTTCCAGAGGTCCTGAGTTCAATTCCCAGCAACCACATGGTAGCTCACAACCATCTGTAATGAGATCTGGTGCCCTCTTCTGGCTTGCAGGCATACATGCAGGCAGAACATTGTATAAATAAAAAATAAAAATCAAAAAAAGAAAAAAAAATTCAAAATCAACACAACATACAGGATCCAAACTCACTGTGTATTTCCATCTCCATGTGGCTTATTTATTCTTTCTTTAAAGACTTTATTTTATAAAACTATTGATTTATTTTCTATGACTATACCCTTTTCCTTTTTTTCTTCTTCTTCTTCTTCTTTTTTCCTGGAGCTGAGGACCGAACCCAGGGCCTTGCACTTGCTAGGCAAGCGCTCTCCCACTGAGCTAAATCCCCAACCCCCCCTTTTCCTTTTCTTAAGCCTAAGCACATTGTTAAATACACTATAACTTGCTTAGAGATTTTTCCTTCTGGACCTCTTTTATTGTGTATCTTCAGCTTTTTTTGACTGTGTGAGCAAACCTTTTTTTTTTTTTTTTTTTTTTTTTTTTTCTGAGACAGGGTTTCTCTGTGTAGTTTTGGTTCCTGTCTTGGATCTTGCTCTGTAGACCAGGCTGGCCTCAAACTCACAGAGATCTGCCTGACTCTGCCTCCTGAGTGCTGGGATTAAAGATGTGTACCACCGCTGCCCTGCATAAGCAAACCTTTAAACTGCTAACCTACGCCTGGATTCTCGCCAGCTGGCTCTCAAATGACTCCACCCCACTTCTCAGGTCTGAAAGCCACGTGTGAAACTCCATAGCCAGTCTGAGGTTTGTCTGACCAGGAACTTCATTCAACCTTCCTAAATCTCTAGAATGTCAATGCTTCCACTGTGGCAGGCATTTTTACTTAGTTTTTTATTCCTAATAATGTACTAGCTGCTCAAAGGGCTCAGTGACCAGCAGAATCTGTCCCGTTTTTTGTTTGTTTGTTTGTTTTTCTTTTTTAAACTCAGCTTTCTTAAGCCCTGCGTGGAAATAAGGGCCCACATTGGAATGCTATTGTAGCTAGAGTTTTCCTGGTCCTGCCTGGCCCACGGTCAGGACAAATCTCTCTCACCCGCCAGTCCCACAGACACTCAGACCCAACCAAGTAAGCACACAGAGACTTATATTGCTTACAAACTGTATGGCCATAGCAGACTTCTTGTTATCTACTTCTTACATCTTTTTTTTTTAGATTTTATTTATTTATTATGTATACAGTGTTCTGTCTACATGTATCCTTGCAGGCTAGAAGAGGGCACCAGATCTCATTACAGATGGTTGTGAGCCACCATGTGGGTGCTGGGAATTGAACTCAGGACCTCTGGAAGAGCAGTCAGTGCTCTTAACCTCTGAGCCATTTCTCCAGCCCCCTAGTTCTTATATCTTAAATTAACCCGTATCTATTAGTCTATAAGTTGCCACGTGGCTCGTGGCTTACTGGTACCTTACATCTCGCTTGTCATGGCGGCGGCTGTATCTCTCTGCCTCAGTCTTCCACCTCCCCAGATTCTTCTCCTCCTTGTCCCTCCTACCCTATCCTTCCTGCCTGGTTACTGGCCAATCAGAGTTTTATTTATTCACAACATACAGGACATCCCAGAGCACGCCATTATGTTGTTGGTTGTTTTTACTCTTTTTCTTGGGGTGGGGGAGGGCACCACCCAGCTCCCAGATAAATCACACATGGAGGCTTTTTCTTAATGATCAATGCCTGGCCTTAGCTTGGCTTAGTTTGGTGCCAGCTTTTCTTAACTTATTCTATCCTGACTACCTTTTGCCTCTGGGCTTTTCCCATTCTCTTACTTCTGTAAATCTTACTCTTTCTCTGTGGTTTGCTGTGTAGCTGGGTGACTGGCCCCTAGGGTCCTCCTCCTTCTCTGGCTGCTTCATCTCTCCTCACAGTTTTCTCTTTCTGTTTATCCTCTCTGCCTGCCAGCCCCGCCTACCCTTTCTCCTGCCTTGCTATTGACCGTTCAGTTCTTTATTAGACCATCAGGTGTTTTAGACAGGTACAGTAACACAGCTTCACAGTTAAACAAATGCAACAAAAACAAAAGTAACACACTTTAAAATATATTACTACAAGCCGGGCGGTGGTGGCTCACGCCTTTAACCCCAGCACTCGGGAAGCAGAGCCAGGTGGATCTCTGTGAGTTCAAGGCCAGCCTGGTCTACAGAGTGAGATCCAGGACAGGCACCAAAGCTACACAGAGAAACCCTGCCTTGGAAAAACAAAACAATTTACTACAGGGGGCTGGAGAAAGTCATCAGTTCAGGGCACTCACTGCTCTTTCAGAAGACCTGGGGTTGATTCTCAGCTCCCACATGGGCAGCTCAGGGCATCTGACACCCTCTTCTGTCTTCCGGGAGAATTAGGCAAAATACCCACGCATTAAGAAAAAAAAAAAAAGCTGTATGTCACTCACACCGGTAACCCCAACCCTGGGAAGGCAAATGCAGGATAGCACTAAGTTCAAGGTCAGGTTTGTTTACGTAGTGTGTTCTAGAATAGCCAAGGCTAGCTACTTAGGATGCCTGTCTCACAGGGAGAGAGACACGGGACGGAGAGGAAGCAGAATGCTGCAGAGTAAGGGATGATGTGATCTGAGGTGGGAACTCTTCAATTTGCGCTCCCCATCACAGTCCAATAGGAAAGCTAACGCACAGGTATGCCCTGGAATTCAGGTGAGGGCCAGGCTGGAAGTCACCCACAGAGTCGGTTTCTTTGTGTGTGCCACGGAGTCTCATTGACCGCAGGCTGGCTTCTACCTCGTGATATGTAGCCAAGGACGTTCTTGAATTCCTTTTCCTTAGCTTTACCTCCCCAAGTGCTGGGATTACAGGCCTGTGCTACCGCTGCCATCCACTGGGTCGTGTCCCTTGATTCCCGAGGTGTCGATAGAGTGAGTGGAAAACACGTGCAGGATCAGATGAGCAGAGTTTTTACAAAGGAGCCCTGGGAATTGCCAAGCGCCCTGGGCACGGCTGGTTCCATCTCACGCCCTTGGGGAGCCGGGTCCGCTCATTGGATCTCTGCAGTTGGGAGCTGCTGCCACCTACAGGTCAAGGGTGATACTGCCTCGCTTGTCCAGCTGCGTTCCCCTGCACCTGTGTGCGGAGTCTGGGATGAAATCACAGGCGACAGAAGCCCTCCAGCTGGTGGCGGCGTCATCTGGCAGTGACAAGAGGAAAACAGAGAAGTCCAGGGAGTGTACGCACCTGGAGGAGGAAAAGGAAGCTTTATCCCCGCCGCCCAATGTGATTTTTTAGCGTTGGGGATAAAACCCAGAGCCTCACACAGGCACTCTACTACTGAGCCACACCCGTAGCCCCTCACTGGCAGGATTCTAAGCAGATGCTCTACCGCTGAGCTACATCCCCGAGGTATTTATTTTAATAGTTTTCTGGTTTTGTTTTTAGTTTATGTGTCATGGATGCCTTTGGAGGCCAGATGGTCCCCTGGAGCTGGAATTACAAGTAATTTTGAGCCACCTGACATTGAAGGAAACCGAGGCAGGAACTCAAACAGGGCAGGAACCTGGAGGCAGGAGCTGAGGCAGAGGCCGTGGAGGGGTGTGGCTTCTCGGCTTGTCGTCATGGCTTGTTCAGCCTGCTTTTTTGTTTTGCTTTGTTTTTCGAGACAGGGTTTCTCTGTGTAGCCTCGGCTATCCTGGAACTAGCTCTGTCGACCAGGCTGGCCTCAAACTCACAGAGATTCACTTACCTCCCGAGTATTGTGATTAAAAGCATGTGCCAGGGGGCTGGAGAGATGGCTCAGAGGTTAAGAATACTGACTGCTCTTCCAGAGGTCCTGAGTTCAATTCCCAGCACCCACATGGTGGCTCACAACCATCTGTAATGAGATCTGGCACCCTCTCCTGTTTACATAATAAATAAATAAATCTTAAAAACAAAAAAAAAAAGCATGTGCCAGGGCTGGAGAGATGGATCAGAGGTTAAGAGCGCTGGCTGCTCTTCCAGAGGTCCTGAGTTCAATTCCCAGCAACCACATGGTGGCTCACAACCATCTGTAATGAGATCTGGTGCCCTCTTCTGGCCTGCAGGCAGAACACTGTATACATAATAAAAAAATAAATCTTAAAAAAAAAAAAAAAAAAAGCATGTGAAAACACCACCATTCGGGCCTGCTTTCCTACAGAACCCAGGACCCACAATGAGCAGCGCCGTCCCCCCATGAATTAAGAAAATGCCCAGCTGGGCAGTGGTGGTGGCACAGTCTTTAATCCTAGCACTCAGGAGGCAGAGGCAGGTGGATCTCTGTGAGTTCAAGGCCAGTCTGGTCTACAGAGTGAGTTCCAGGACAGCCAGGGCTACACAGAGAAACCCTGTCTCAAACAAACAAACAAACAACCCCCCTAAAAAAATAAGAAAGAAGGAAGGAAGGAAGGAAGGAAGGAAGGAAGGAAGGAAGGAAGGAAGGAAGAAAATGCCCTACAGTCTTGCTTACAGCTTGACCTTATGGAGGCATTTTCTTTTTTTGGTTTTTCGAGACAGGGTTTCTCTGTGTAGCTTTGTGCCTTTCCTGGATCTCGCTCTGTAGACCAGGCTGGCCTCGAACTCACAGAGATCCACCTGGCTCTGCCTCCCGAGTGCTGGGATTAAAGGCGTGCGCCGCCGCCGCGCCCCCCCCCCCCCCCCGCGCCCCCCCCCCCCCCCCCCCCCCCCCCGGCAGGAGGCATTTTCTTAATTGAGGCTCCTCCTCTCAGATGACTCTAGCTAGTGTCAAGTTGACAAAACAACCACCCAGCACGCAAGAGTTTCAAGATGGGGAAGGTTTATGGACTATTGCTCCTTGACAGGGTAGCCATCATTGATAGAAAACACAGTTCTCCAGTCTCCAGGGCTGTGTTCAGTCTCCCGCTGTGGCCCCATCAGGCAGATCCCCTTTGGCTCCATCTGACAGATAAAGACCATTCGGTTCAGGTCCTAAGAGTTAGATGACTCTGAAAGCACCCCACACATACACAGATTCCAGCTCCACTGGCACCAGAACCCGCGCACAGGCCTCCAAACAGCGGCTCACTCTCCCTCTGCTATCCTTCCTCCATTACAGTTCATCATTAATCTGCGACCATCTTCCAGCTCAGCTTCAAGGCCTGAGCTCAGTAAGAGAGGACGGGAGACAGATGGGCAGCCAGGAGGCAACCCATGCTACTGGAGTATGACTTGTGAGATGGTGTTTCGGTTGAAATCCACCAGCTCTGGATATAAGTTTATTTCCTCCTTTTTCCTACGTATAAGACTGTAGGGCTGGAGAGATGGCTCAGAGGTTAAGAGCACTGGCTAATCTTCCAGAGGTCCTGAGTTCAATTCCCAGCAACCACATGGTGGCTCACAACCATCTAAAATGAGATCTGGTACCCTCTTCTGGCCTGCAGGCATACATACAGGCAGAACACTATATACATAATAAATAAATAAATAAATAAATAAATAAATAAATAAATAAATAAATAAATAAATAAATAAATAAATAAATAAACCTTTAAAAAAAAAGATTGTGCCGGGCGGTGGTGGCGCACGCCTTTAATCCCAGCACTCGGGAGGCAGAGGCAGGCGGATCTCTGTGAGTTCGAGGCCAGCCTGGTCTCCAAAGTGAGTTCCAGGAAAGGCGCAAAGCTACACAGAGAAACCCTGTCTCGAAAAACCAAAAAAAATAAAAAATAAAAAAAAATAAAATAAAAAAAAATAAAAAAAAAGATTGTAAGAGAGAAATTTCGCCCAATATTTTCATTTAAAAGAAGATGAATAATTGATTCTCCACTTAGAAGTAGTTAAAATATTGAAAATTTAAATATTTAAAAAAAATCACACCTTGGGCCAGGCAATGGTGGCGCCCATCTTTAATCTCAGTATTCAGGAGGCAGAGGCATGTGGATCTCTGAGTTCAAGGTTAGCCTGGTCTACAGAGTGGGTTCCAGGACAGCCAGGGCTACACAGAGAAACCTTGTCTCAAAACAAAACAAAAAGTTAAAAACCACATCTTTTCAAAAACATATTGTTTCGTTGTTGTTGTTGTTTGTTTGTTTGTTTTTGAGACAGGGTTTCTCTGTGCAGCTTTGGTGCCTGTCCTGAAACTCACTTTGTAGCCCAGGCTGACCTTGAACTCACAGAGATCCTCCTGGCTTTGCCTCCTGAGTGATGAGATTAAAAGCATGTGCCACTATCACCCGGCCGTCAAAAATATTTTTAAGGATTTATTTATATTGTGTGTGTGTGTGCGTGCATGTGTGTGTGCATGTGTGTGTGTGTTTGGGTATGTGCCCGTGAGTACAGGTGCCCAAGGAGGCCAGAAGAGGGCGTTGGATCACTGGGAACTGGAGTTACAAATAGATGGGAGCTGTGTGATGTGGGTGCTGGCACTTGAACTAGAGTCCTCTCCAAGAGTAGCCAGCGCTCTTTGTTGGGAGTGCAAAGGTCCTTGTGCTCACAGATTGCACTAGGGAAACCAGGAATGTTAACAAAAAGGGTTGTCTTCTCAAGGCAGAAGATACATAACCCGTTTTCCATCCAGAAGGCTGGGGACGGAAGTAGCTAACAGCCTAGGTAACCCTTGCGCTGTGTGCCCAAAGGCTTCCCCAGGCTCCAAAAACAGGACTGGAGATACTTAATAGTCTAGGTGACCCTTGCACTATCTACATGGCCAGGGGCGTCCCCAAGTTCCCATAACCAGGACCAGCGGTGGCTAAATAGTCCATATGACCTCCACGTTATCTATGAGGGGGACCACAACAGATCCTCCCCTAGGCCCTTAAGATAACACATGTAGCCTATCTCTAGAATCCATCTTCATGAAAGAAGTGTCATGTACTTGGGGAAGTTTTGATGTAAATATGCCTCCATGTGCACACGGGACTGTGTCACCAGGAAACTTTTTTTTCCCCCCGCGAGCGAATTGTACTGTACTTAAATATGCCTAAAATAAACTGCCTGGCAATCTTACCAAAAGCAATCTACAGATTCAATACAATCCCCATCAAAATCCCAACACAATTCTTCACAGACTTGGAAAGAACAATACTCAACTTCATATGGAAAAACAAAAGACCCAGGATATTATACAGCTAAAAGAATGCTGTATAATAAAGCAACCTCTGGAGGCATCACCATCCCTGACCTCAAGCTCTACTATAGAGCTATAGTAATAAAAACAGCTTGGTACTGGCATAAAAACCGACATACAGATCAATGGAATCTAATTGAAGACCCTGACATTAGTCCACGCACATATGAACACCTGATTTTTGACAAAGAAGCCAAAACTATACAATGGAAAAAAGAAAGTATCTTCAACAAATGGTGCTGACATAACTGGATGTCAATATGTAAAAGATTACAAATAGATCCATATCTGTCACCATGCACAAAACTCAAGTCCAAGTGGATCAAAGACCTCAACATAAATCCAGTTACACTAAACTTAATAGAAGAGAAAGTAGAAGTAGTCTTGAACACATTGGCACAGGAGATCACTTCCTAAATATAACACCAGCAGCACAGACACTGAGAACAACAATTAATAAATGGGACGTCTTGAAACTGAGAAGCTTTTGTAGGGCAAAAGACACAGTCAATAAGACAAAAAGACAGCCTACAGAATGGGAAAAGACCTTCACCAACCCCACATCTGACAGAGGACTGATCTCCAAAGTGTATAAAGAACTCAAGAAACTAGACATCAAAATACTGAACAATTCAATTAAAAAATGGGCTGAGGAGATAAACTGCCTGGAGTTGGGCTCTAGAACAGTGGCTCTCAACCTGTAGGTTGTGACCCCTCTGGGGGTCGGACAACCCTTTCACAGGGGGCCCCTAAGACCATCTACATATTAGGTATTTACATCATGATTCACAACAGTAGCAAAATTGCAGTTACGATGGAGCAATGAAAATAATTGTATGGCTGGGGGTTATCATCACACGAGAAACTGTACTAAGGGGTCATAGCATTAAGATTGAGAACCACTGCTCTAGAAGTTGGAACCGATACTGGCTACAATTTGCATATTTATGGTTATAATCCTTAGCGCCAACCCCCACCCCCCCACGCCGGGAGACCAGAGAGGATGTCAAATTCCTCGGAGCTAGAGCTACAGGCAGTTGTGAGCTGCCTGCCTTAGGTGCTGGGAACTGAACTCAGATCCTCTGCAAGAGCAGAATGTGCTCTTAATTGCTGTGTCTCCAGTCCCCGATCTTCGTGACTCAGCCTTCCGAGCGTTGCGGTTGCAGGCACGCCTTACAGCGTCTGGCGGTTTTACTTTAGCATCTGTGTCGCTAGGATGTGAATGTCCCCGAGACGGTGAAATCCTGTCTATTTTCCCTCCCATCATCAGGATACATGGCTAGATCAGAGCAGGTGCTAAATGTTCGTAGGACACATGAATACACACACGCATGCACGCACGCACGCACGCACGCACGCTGGGGGGCGTGGCACATACCTTTAATCTCAGTACACGGGAGGCAGAGGCAGGCAGATCTCTGAGGTCAGACTGGGCTACACAGAGAGTTCCAGGGCAGCCAAGGCTACACAGAGAAACCCTGCCTCAAAAAACTAAAACAAACAAATTAATAAATTAATAAAATGGATAAAAGCTGAGGAGAGTCCAGTCCCATGGAAATACTAGAACATACTAGACAAATGAACAAATTATGAGATATTGACAACAAGGAAAGCTAGGTTGCTCCTTTTTGGGGGCGGTAACTTAACTTTATTAGTGTGTGTGCATGCACACGCACATGCACACGCAGTCATGCATGAGCCACAGTGTGTGGACATTAAAGGACAGGGCTGTTCCATCTCCTTGGCTTGTGAGAGTTCGTTCAGACCCTTCGTTTACACTTCTGCTTTGCACAGCTACTGTCGTAACGTGTCATCTCCGGAGTCTGTGGATCCCAGGGGTGACACTCTGGTCTCTAGGATCGGCAGCGGGTCCACTTACCTACTTAGCCACCTTGCTGGCTCTGTTTCTGGCTCTTTGAAGAAGGGAAATAAAAATACAGAAAGGGGAAAGGTTAGGGTGGCATATGCCACTCTGGACACCACCGCAAGATGTAAACAAATGTGTAATCTATGAAGACCAATAACTATACAGGCCGGGCGGTGGTGGCACACGCCTTTTATCCCAGCAATTGAGAGGCGGAGGCAGGCGGATCTCTGTGAGTGCAAGGCCAGGATGGTTTACAGAGTGAGTTTCAGGACAGCCTGGGCTACACAGAGAAACCCTGTCTCAAACAAACAAACAAACAAACAAAAAAAAAACCCAAAAACTATACAGATGTGAAAATGGACATAGAAATGCACCCGCCAAACGGCAATGAGCCATCTACCAGCCACCTCATCATGGGCTCTAAGTACAGCTGTCCTTGGAGATACTGGTTTAAGAATCCAAGGATGCTGAGATGCTCAAGAACACAAAAGAGTATTCTATGGGCTGGGATGTGGCTCAGTGGTAGAGCCCCTGCCTAGAATCTCCCAGTGAGGGGCTGGGGTGGCTCAGTGGTAGAGCCCCTGCCTAGAATCCCCCAGTGAGGGGCTGGGGTGTGGCTCAGTGGTAGAGCCCCTGCCTAGTATCCCCCAGTTAGGGTATGGAGCATGGCTAGGCAGCAGAACACTTGCCTAGCATGTGCAAGAGCCTGTGTTCATTCCTCACCTAGCATGGCACAAAGAAATAAAAGGAAAATGATGCTCAAAGTTTCAAAAATACCTTCCCTTGCCCAACATGGACTAAACATCTACGTCAGGTGACTGACATTCATATGCCAGGGTTTGAATCACACTGGACAGCATCAGAAAACAGCCTCATTTCTGGGATGTTTATGGTAGCACAAAATGATGGTCCAATCAAGAGGAAAACTGGACTCACCTAAATGAAAGAGCAGTTTACCTGTCAAGCTCACGAAAACTCACAGGTTACAAATTATTCTGGGTTGAGAATAGAAAGAGAGAACAACTGGGTATGATGTTCCATACCTTATTAGATTTCTATTCCTTTTTTTTTTTTTTTTTTTTTTAATTTTCAAGACAGGGTTTCTCTGTGTAGCCCTGGCTGTCCTGGAACCCACTCTGTAGACCAGGCTGGCCTCGAACTCACACAGATCCTCCTGCTTCTGCCTCCTGAGTGCTGAGAGTGCTGGAATTAAAGACATGCACCATCCCAGTACTTGGGAGGCAGGGGCAGGGGGATCTCTATGTTTGAGGCCAGCCTGATCTGCAGAGTGAGTTCCAGGGCAGCCAGGGCTACACAGAGAAGACCTGTCTCAAAACAAGCAAGCAAGCAAGCAAACAAAATTCCCTCATCTTGGAAATGTAGTTCAGTTAGAGTCTGCCTGGTCCTGCATGTTTGGGGTATACTAGCAATAACATAGCGGAAAGTGGATATTCACGATTTTAGTAAGGATGCCTTGGGATTTTTTTTTCCCCTTCTGAGTTGGGCGTTAGGATTCTGGGGGCATATTATGCCTTGAAGGGCTAGCAAAGAGTCAACCCTCATGCTGGGGGACTGCCTCATGCTCAGCCTTGCAGAGTTCTGGACCAAGCCAAGGTTGTCCCTCCTTGGCTATAGCAAGACACCAGTGGAGCGCCCCTAGGGACGAAGGAAGGCAAGACTTGGGGGAAGGCCTGGGGCGTTCCAAGGTGTGAGGAGGGAGGTGTACTTGCTCCTTGCCCTGGATTGTTCTTCAGTAGGTGGAGTCTGCTAGGGAGTGCCCTGCCTGGAAGGGCAAAGGGCTCCGTCTTCTGTTAGCCACAACCAGCTGACAAGAACCTCAGTCACCTGGCCACCTCTCTAGGGACACTGAAAGGTACGTGTCCCCAGCCCACCACTCACTATGATCTCCTGAGGGCAGTGTAGGAAACCCTTTCTCTCTGGGAGTTCCAAACACTCTTGTCCATTCTGCTGAACCCAGCCAAGGGGCCTTGCTTGCTGTTCCTGAGTAAGGCCCAAAGTCCCCTGGCCTACTTCCCAGCTAGCCAGCCATACTAAGGTTCGTCTAGGACTTTACAAGATGAGGGTGGAGTGCCCCCTGGAGGCAAAGGGTTGTAAGGCTAGCTAGGTGGAAATAACAGGGCAGGTAGGTTAGGGGTCGGGGTCAAGGCCAGGGCAGGAGTACCCAGGGTGGGGCTTCTCATTCAGACAAGCCCCAGATCACTGCCTCCTCCACCCATTACCCTCCAACAGAACCCAGAATCCCAAGCGGCTGGAGCACTGGGGGACACCCGGGCAGAGCCTTCCCTGGAGCAAGTCCTGCAGGAGCGGGATGAAGCCATTGCTAAGTGAGAGAAACTTCAGATGGGGGGTGGGGGTGGGGGCCTCACTCCTGCTACAGGAGAGGAAAGGGACTCCAGACATCCCACCAGAAATCCCCTGCTGCTGTCCCTGCCACCTGCAGGAAACAGGCCGTGGAAGCCGAGCTGCACTCCTGCAGGGCCAGGCTGCGCACCGTGGAGGCTCAGCTGCTGGAAGTCCTACAGGAGAAACTGAGGCTGAAGCAGGAAGTGGAGGCCTGGGAGGTAGGTAGGGTGGGGCCTCCGCCGCGGGAGGCTCGGGGGACACCCCTCCGTCCCCAGGGGCGGCCTTGAACCTGCCCTCTCTCTCTCCTGTCCCCAGGAAGACATGCAGCTCGTGGTTCGAGAGCGGGTGCAGAGTCAACTGCGGGGAGAGTCCAGGGGCGCTCTGGCCACACAAGAGAACACCAATGCAGGCGGGACCTCCCGGATCCACCTCTCCCGGAGTCAGTGGGGACGATGGTGGTGAAAACGGATCCCAGAACGTTAATAAGAGAACCGACTTTATTCATTAAAGTGTTGGGCCACCTCTGGACCCCTGTGTGCCCTCTCCGTGCCCACCTGAGTTGTTCTGTGCAGAAGCCAGGGACAGGTCACAAGGATGCCAAGCCCAGAGCTCCCTGTCTGCTCTTCCAAGGAGCCACTTCTCAGGCCAAGAAGCTGCTGACAGCATCCATGAAGTCTTGGGGCTTGTCACTGTGGACCCAGTGGCCAGCATTAGGCACGGTCTGAATCTGGGCTTGAGGAAAGAGACGCCTAATCTCTGAGTGGTGGCTGGGTCTGGCCACCGTAGTGAAGCCAAGCAAGATGAGGTTAAAGAAGACAATGGAGAGAGAGAGAGACAGAGAGAATGGGAGAGAACAAGAGTTACATGAATCTACATGCCCGGTGGTGTTGCCAGGCTCCCAGATACCCCATGTGCACACCCAAGCCCTCCCCGACCCAAACAGACTCCCACAGCTGGGGGTGGATAAGGCATACCCCCTCCTACGCCCCCACACTGACTTACTGTATGTATCTAGAATTTCCACCACGCAGAAAGAGAGTTGGCCCCGAGTAGGATTCAAGTTGCTGTGGGAAGGTCAAAATCTTGTCCAAGTACTGAGCTAAAGTTTCCAAGTTCACTCTCCAGGAGAATCGCCCGTCTACCTCCACCAGGTTACTGAGCAGGAACTGCCGAATGGTTGGGTCCTGTGGTGGGTGGGTCAGGCAGTTGTGAGGGGCCCTCTGTGAGGCCCACCCACCACTTTTTCCTCTGACATGTGTCTTAGTCTACACCATGGGGGTGGAGGAAAGGGGGTAGCATGCAGCACCTTGACAGTGGAGCTAAGTTGTTCATCCACCAGCTTTCGGGCCTCGGAGTGCCGCACCTTCTCCGGGATATCAACAGCTTTCATGGCTGCTATGTAGCTTCCGAGGTATGATCCAGGTGTGGTTCCTACTGGGCTTATGTCCACAGCGACCAATCGTTCCACAACATCTGGCTAGAAGACAGAATCAGACAAGAAAAGGTTCCAGACACACTCACTGGGCCTCCAGCACAGTTGCTGAAGCCTGGCCATCCAAGGCACGGATGTGTCCCACATTATCAGTAGGGCACTTAAGGTTTGCAGGGCAGTTATGAGGAAGACCCAGATAGATGCAGCTCACCCTCTGCAGGGCCAGAAGCATGGCTGTCTTTCCTCCCATGCTGTGGCCAACGACGACGCAGGGTACCAGGCCCAGCTGTGGCAGAAGGCCCTGAAGGTCCTGACTCATGGCCTCGTAGCTTGCATCTGGACTGTGGGGGCTGTCACCATGGTTCCGAGCATCCACTGTCAACACCTGGGGTGTGGGGTGAAATGGGAGGAATGGTGTTACTCTGATTGTAGACAATGAAAAGCCTGGTAGAGACTCTGAAGCAGCCAGGGAGATGAGTCTGGGGACATAATTGTGTTTGTTTGTGTGCACATGTGTGTGGTATGCGTGTGTACATTGTCATGTGCACGTAGAAGCCAGAGGTCAATCTTGAATATCTTCCCTAGTTGCTATCCAACGTAGTCCTTGATTTTTATTATATACATATATACGTATGTATATATGTGTGCGCAAGCGTGTGTGTGCACGCAGATGCCATGGTGTGCATGTGGCGGCCAAACGACAACTTGAGGTGTGGAGCCTCAGACCAAGAGAACCAAGAGAGCGCATGGCCGAAATGGCTGGATTATATAGGAAAGAGAAGCTGAGAGGAGGGAAGGGAAGGGAAGGAAAGGGAAGGGAAAGGAAGGGAAGCCCCTGGGCTGGACAAGTTTATGGTAGGGGTGGTACAAGGGCAGGGGAGCCACTGGTACTGAGTGAGCTTGGCAGCCAGTGTGCACTCCGGTACGCTAACAGGCACCACAACTAGTCATTTGTAGCATGAATCTTCAAAGTTCTTATTAATAAAATCAGACCTGAGGCAGGTATTGGGGTGAACACTGGAAGGTCAGAGAGACAGAACAGGCCACAGCTAACCTCACCTGGCCAACTTCTCAGCTGATCTTGTTTCCTTAGACTGGAAGCCTCTGTGTCCTCATCCCAATGGCTCTCAGCTGAACTGCTCTGCTTGAAAGCTTGAAAGCTTAACCAGCCAAATGCTTCTAGTTTCTGGTCCTCACACCTTATATACCTTTCTGCTTTTTACCATCACTCCCTGGGATTAAAGGCTCGCTTTCTGGGATTAAAGGCATGAGTCACCATGCTTGGCTGTATCCTTGAACAGATGGATTTCTGCCTCTGGAATGCTAGGATTAAAGGCGTGTGCTACCACTGCCTATCCTCTATGTTTAGTATTGTGGCTGTTCTGTCTCTGATCCCAGATAAGTTTATTAGGGTGCACAATATTTTGGGGAACACAATACCACCACAGCCATTTGTCCTGAGTTTCTTTGGGACCTGACAGAGGGACGGGTGGAGATCTGTAACCTAAATGGACGAATTGGAAGGCACCCTGCAGAACCTGGCCTCTTCGAAGATGTTTTCCGGGTTACAGTGCACTGAAACTTTCCCACTTATCAGCCTGAGCCCAGACCTGACAGGTTGAAGCTACATCCACTACCCTCAGACTTCCCCCTTAGCCCCCGCCCACCCCTGCCCCGCCCCACCCCACCCGGAAGCTCACCCTCCTGCCGGTCCTCTGGACCATCGCCTTGGCAATGGAGTTGAAGTTGGTTTTGCTGCCGAAGAGTCCATGCAAAAACACGATGGCTGGGAGTGTCGTCTCTCCATCAAGAAGGTTATAGGACAGCGGCAGCGGCCTGGAAAGTGAGGGCCACCATGGAGAAAGTGGGGAGGGTGAAGGAGAGAAGGGGCGGGGCCAAGGGAGGGGCGGGGCCAGCCGGGCCACGTGCGAAGAGGACCAGAGGAGTACCACCTTCCCGGTGTCCTTGACTGACCTCGGATCGGCGTTTCCTTGGCCACTACTGCGGCTGCTACTGAAGGCAACGGGCACCGCCGAGCATCTGGGGGAGGAGGCACCAAGCTTCCCACGGGGGACCCTCCACGCTCGCGCCCAGTGGAGCATGCCGTCACTTGCGGCCTATAGAAGGTGCTTCCTAGGGATGTCCCGCGCACGCTCCGCCTCCCGGAGCCCTGCTCGTTTCCAACTAGGGCTCCGCCTATCTTCCTGCCCCCGTCGAGGCAGCACTCTAGGTCACGTGGCCTAACGTAAGCCCGCAGCACAGTTCAGCCCCCTCCTTGCACCATTACCCAATGCAGGAGCTTCTTGGTCACGCCCTGGGCGGAGCCTCCAGAAGAGCCGGCCCTTGCGTATTACGCAATTCTTGAAGCCGCTCGGAACCCGGTCTGGAGGACTAACTGCCTTGATTACGCGATGGGCGTAGCCATCCAACAGTAGCCCTGCCCCACTTGCACAATTACTCAATTCCTGCACACACTACGAGCCGCCCAGAGACGAGATCCTTGCCAGGACCAGGGCGGTGTCACATGGGGTTGACCCCGCCTCTTGGGCATTACACAATACCCTTCAGACCTGTGAGCCCCTGCCACGCCCTGGGAGGGGCCACCCCATTGGCCTGTTCTTTGTACCATCACTCCACAATCGTCGTAGCATCTGGAGAGAAGCCCCTTGGCCACATCTTGGGCGGAGCCACGAGAGACTCTGGGACCACCCCTTGCATCCATACGTAATTCCCACCTTCTGTGCCTCTGCGAGCTCTGCTCCCCTTAGTCATGCCCTACTATGGGCGGAGCCACAAGAGAACCTGGGCGGTCCCTTGCTTGATTTCTCAAACCCTTAAGATGAGGCAGCACCCAGAAGTTGTCTCCTTGGCCACGCTCTGGGCGGAGCCACCCAAGATTCTGGCCCCCACCTCTTGCAACCATTACGTAATCCTGGCTGGTCTGTGCGCACCTCCCGGAGCGCCTTGGCTACATCGTAGACCACGCCCCAGCCTTTAAGTGGCCGGTAGTCGATTCTAGAGTTCCCCTAGTTTGACCAGAGGGTCAAGGAACAAGCGTGGGCGTGTCCCTGGCAAGGTGTGTCCTTTCTCGGCTCTGGAGCAGACCCCACTTGGCGGGCTCCTCCATCCTCAGGCACCGCCCTGGGTGGATGCCATGCTCTCTGAGCCTCCAGCCAGAGCAGGAGGCGCCAGGAGTGGCTTTTGTTCCAGCTCCCGCCAGCTTGGTGGCGCCGTGCTCCACAGCTGGGGGTCCTGCCAGGCTCCCCAGACCATGGATGCTTTGTTTCCCCAAGTACCCTCAAGAAAAAGCTAGCAGAGGCTCTCGAGGTCCCTTCGAACGTCTTAAATTGGTAAATTGAAGTGCAGAAAGGGCAAAAGATTGGTCCAACAGGCAGAACCAGAGTCTTGGTCCGGTCTTCCGTTTCTGATGCAGATCAATTTGGAAGACCAGGATCAAACCCTTGGCCAGGGATTTATAGTGTAGTTATTGCACTGAATAGAAACGGCTCTGGGCTGGGCGAGGCGGCTCAAGCCTTTAATCCCACCCAGCATTTGGGCAAGCGGTTCTCTGTAAGTTCAAGGCCAACCAGAACTACATAGAGTAACTGTCTAACTAAAAGAAAAGAAAAAAGAAATCAAGAAAGGGCCCGGATTAGCAATTTGCCACTTACCAGCAGAGAGTAGCAATCCTCTCACCCCCAAAACGCACCCCATTCCGCACTGAAATCACTTCCAACAGGGACCCTGCCTTCTGCCCTTCTTAGGCTAGGGAAAGTCGTTTTTGTTTTTTTTTTGTTTTTTTTTTTTTTTTGGTTTTTCGAGACAGGGTTTCTCTGTGTAGCTTTGCGCCTTTCCTGGAACTCACTTGGTAGCCCAGGCTGGCCTCGAACTCACAGAGATCCGCCTGGCTCTGCCTCCCGAGTGCTGGGATTAAAGGCGTGCGCCACCACCGCCCGGCTGGGAAAGTCGTTTTTACAAGTTAAGTTTCTCATAGCACTTCAAGCCCGCTGCTCGGATCCTTCCCAGAGTCCCCAGCTAGACACCAAGCGGTTGGATCCCCTTTTGCCCTGCTAGTTGCCTAATCGTGCACACACACACACACACACACACACACACACACACACACACACACACGTTGATTTACTTTATGTATATGAGTGTTTTGCTTGCCTTCATGTTATGTGTACCGCGTTTGTACCTTGTGTTTTCAGAAGAGGAATAGGCTCCCCTGGAGCTGGAGTTACAGATGGTTGTGAGTCACCATGTGGGTATTGCAAGAGCAGCGGGTGCTCTTAACCACTGAGCCATCTCTCCAGCCCTTTTTGTTTTTGAGACAGGGTCTCTCTGGAACTTGCTATGTAGACCAGACTGGCCTCAAACTCACAGAGTGTCACCTGCCTCTGTCTCCTTAGTGCCGAGATTAAAGGTGTGTGCCACTATACCTGACAACTGTTTTTTGTTCGTGTTTGGTTTTAGATTTATTTATTCATTTGTGTATATTTATATATTATGTATTATGTCTGCATGTTTGCCCGCAGACCAGAAGAGGGCACCAGATCTCATTGTAGATGGTTGTGAGTCACCATGTGGTTGCTGGGAATTGAACGTGAATCCTTTGGAAGAACATTCACTCAGCCATCTCAGTAGCCCCAATTTTTAAATTATTTATTAACTTTATTATAAAAAAATCTTGCAAATAAATAAAAATATCACATACCAAAATTAGCAAGACCCCAAGTCAACACAACTCAATGAGCTTCTATATAGTTACAATAGGCATTTGAAACAGAAGCTGTGGAGTATCACATTAAATTTTATATTTTCAGTATCAGATATACTTTATGCACCACCAAAACAAACAAACAAACAAAAATCCATGACAGACGTAGAACTAGAGAAACAGCCGGGCGGTGGTGGCGCACGCCTTTAAATCCCTAGCATTCGGGAGGCAGAGGCAGGAGGATCTCTATGAGTTCGAGGCCAACCTGGGCTACAGAGCAAGATCCAGGACAGACACCAAGCTACAGAGAAGAAACCCTGTCTCAAAAAACAAAAAACAAAAACAAAAAACCTAGAGAAACAGTTATCTTTTTTTTTTTTTTTTTTTTTTTGGTTTTTCGAGACAGGGTTTCTCTGTGTAGCTTTGCGCCTTTCCTGGGACTCACTTGGTAGCCCAGGCTGGCCTCGAACTCACAGAGATCCGCCTGGCTCTGCCTCCCGAGTGCTGGGATTAAAGACGTGTGCCACCACCACCCGGCTAGAAACAGTTATCTTTTTATCCTCTTCATAACCCTGGTCTTTTACCTGCATTCAGTCCTTCCTCACACCCTTAGGCTTAGTCTTTTTCTTTCCTTTGTGCTATGCTATTCCCACATGTGTGTTATTATCGGCTAGATTCCACATGTGACAGAGAACATGTGGCTTTTTTCCTTCTGAGATTGTATGACCTTTTAATTTTTTTTTTTTTACTTTATGTTTTGTGTATATATATTTTATCTGCATGTATATCTGCATGTCTGGTGCCTGAATGTAGCAAAACAGGACATCAGATCCTCTGGGACTGGAATTACCATTGAGAGCCACCATATGGGTGCTAGGAATCAAACCTGGGTCCTCTGCAAGAGCAGACACTGCTCTTAACCATTCAGCCATCACTTTGGCCCATCTTTTTATTTGAATGGTACTGGGGATTGGACTTGGGGCCTCATAGCTCTCTCTTTACTTTTTATTTTGAGACAGAGTCTTTTTTCTTTTCTTTCATTTTTTTTTTTTTTTTTTTTTTTTTTTTTTTTTTGGTGAGTAGAAGTTTCTTTGTGTAGCCCTGGATGTCCAGGAACTCACTCTGTAGACCAGGCTGGCCTCGAACTCACAGAGATTCATCTGCCTCTGCCTCCTGAGTGCTGGGATTAAAGGCGTGCACCACCACCACCCTGCTGAGACAAGTTCTTATTCAGCAGTCCATACTGGCCTTGAACATGTGGTCCTCTCACCCAGCCCCTTCAGTAATTGGGATTATAGACCTGTGCCACCAAACCTACTCCCTGTCTTATATATCTTTTAGGGCCCAAGGTTAACTGACGTCTCTATCTCCAACCATCCCAGACACTCATCATTTCTAACCTGTGTTCGCCAAGTATTTGCTATACGCAATTCTAGAGCAATATCTTCCCTGTGTCCATCCTGGCCCGGGGGTTCCCTGAGGACCCAAGTATATTTTGTTCATCTGCTACAAAAATATGATTTTACTGAAGGATCCCCAAGGGGCTGGGGAGATGGCCCAGCAGTTAAGAGCTCTGGCTGTTCTTCCAGCGGAACTGGGTTCATTTCCAAGCATCCACACAGCAGCTCACAACTGTCTGTAACTCCAGTTCCAGGGGATCTGATGCCCTCTTCTGGCCTCCATGGGCACTGCATGCATGTGATGCACAGCCTGGTCTACATGGTGAGTTCCAGGATAGCCAGGGCTACATAGAGAGACTGTCTCACGAAACAAACAAACAAACAAAAAAACCCAAAAGGCAAAAAGTGGGAGAGTGTTTGCCTAGAATTCAGGACTCCCTGGGTTCAAATTCTAGACCCAGCCCTCCAACCCCCAATACACACACACACACACACACACACACACACACACACACACAAATGGAGTACTTAAAAGCACTGGAGAAATACTTAGGCAAATTTTTCTGGGGTGTCTGGTCAAGTGCCCACTAACAGGAGACACTAAGACTATCCAGAGATATATTGGCGCCCCCTCTGCCCTTCAGGGCAGGGCTGAAGCAGGCTGTGCACCAACCCCCGGACTTCATCCCACTGCGGAAGGGGACTCGGCAGCTGTTTTGTTCTATACTGAACTCACAAGGGACCCTCACCGGGCTGAGTGTGAGCTCTTTGTTGTCTGCAGAGAGTTATTAGGGTTTGACAGGACACCTGAGCCCTGTATGATTCAAAGACTAGGAAAGACTCCCCCCCCCCCCACCCCCACTTCTTTCTTTTTTTTTTTTTGGTTTTTTTTTTTTTGTTTTTTTTTTTTTGTTTTTTTTTTCGAGACAGGGTTTCTCTGTGTAGCTTTGCGCCTTTTCCTGGAACTCACTTGGTAGCCCAGGCTGGCCTCGAACTCACAGAGATCCGCCTGGCTCTGCCTCCCGAGTGCTGGGATTAAAGGCGTGTGCCACCACCGCCCGGCCTCCACTTCTTTCTTTTTAAGACAGGGTTTCTCTGTGTAGCACTGGCT